GAGGGGATGAAAGGCAGAGCTGGACCTTGGGGCAAGGCCAGTGGCAGCACCGGGCTCCTGGACACAGCAGATGGCCCCAGGGAACTGGCCCTGCCCTGTCCTGCCCTGGAGACCCCTCCGTCTCCAAGTCCCGTGGGCCTGGCTTCCTGTCCCCAGCTCTTGCCGGGTGTGACGGGTGGGCATGGAGGGTGCCTCAGCCCAGCCCAGGGAGGACCAGCCACGAAGCAGGAAGGCGGAGGGAGTGCCTGGAGCCAGCAGGGCGGCCACCGAGACCCCACACTGACACAGGGACCGAGGCACCCGGGCCGGTTTCCAGGAGAGCCCTGCGTGGGCTCCTCCCTTACTCTTAGGGTTCCCGCCCAGGCAGGCTGGTGTGGGGACTGGGAACCAGCATGACCCAAGACAGGTCGCCCGCGTGTCCTCTCACATCCGATTCCACCAACACCAAGGTTTCTTCTGCAGGCTCCTGGGAGAATCCATTTTCCACCCCTTTGGGCTTCCGGAGGCGTTTCCTTGGCTGGGGGCCCCTCACAAAGCCAGCAGTGGCCGGCCAGCCCCCTCACGCTCACCTCTGCCACGGCTTCCCTCTTCCACTTAGCAGGATGGGGGTACCCTGTGCCCTCGCGGGTCACCCAGGGCAGCCTCCCTGTTGAGGGAGCTGATGGGCCGTCCACAGTTGCAGGTCCCCGCTGCTGTGTGAACTCACAGGTCTCAGGGTGAGGAGGCGGGGGTCTGAGGGGCCGTCATTCTGCCACCCACAGGTGGGAGCCTCCTCACAGGGCATCGGGCCTCAGTGGCAGCTGGGGAGCTGCAGGGGCTGTGGGGTGCCCAGCAGGGCGGGCTCAGTACTGCCCGCAGGACCACCCTGCTGTTAGGGCGACTCGGCGGCTTGCAGCCTTCTCAGCTCAGTTCCTGTCAGCTGACCGGGACGGCCCTGCCCCGCCTGCGCTTGCCCTAGGAGCTGGGGGTCTCCATCCAGCAAGACTGCGAACGAGGCCACCCCGAGACCGGCTGCCACAGATCACATGCTGGCCCTGGCTGCCGGCTAAGGCCAGGGGACACCCTCCTTGAGACTCCCAGGGTGAGGCTCAGCTCCTGAGGACCGAGCGGCCTCTGCATGGCGCTCCCTCCCCATCCCTCCGCTTCTCCAGATCTCCTGCCTGGCTCAATGCACGTCCATCCTGGGCCCTCCCAGCCTTACCTGGCCGAGCCGTGGCCTTGCCCACCTGCCTGGGCCATTCCCTCCTGACCGGGTGCGATCTGCAGACAGCAGTATCAGTGCTGCATAGAGGAACCACGGCCGACGCCCACTGCACGTGCTATGTCCGTAAACTGCACCCAGTCCAGCCTGGCTGCTCCCCGTGTGAGCCTGAGCTTGCAGGCCAGAGGAGACGACCTTGGGCTTTGGCCCCAAGCCTGTGAGTCACATCCCTGCCCTCAACTCACCTGCCTCAGCTGCTCATGTGCAAAGCAGGCTGAGTGCGCTGACTTCAGCGGGTACGAGAACCCTGGGAAGGCACTTGAAGGGTGTCAGAACCTGGCAGGTGCCTCCAGTGTGTGGGACAGTGTGCGCTGGGTGTGTGGGGACCTGCGGCAGCGCCCTCCGGCCACCCTCAGAGGGGCTGGTGCTCAGGGGGTGCCTGTTGGACCCGGGACCCGCCCCTTCCCCACACCTGCCTGTGGGGACCTGCGGGCTTTCTGCTCAGAGAGAGGCAGATCCATGGTCGTCCATCCCGTGACAACCGCATGCTCCTGAGCCGTGCTCATGGCTGTGCTCATGGCTGTGCCGGCGGCTGGCAGGGGATGCCGTGGCCGTCGTGGGTGATGGATCAGGAGGTGCAGTCACAGATGTTTATCCTCCAGTGACCTGGTCTCTCCTGTGGCTGCTGAGGAGATGCACGTGGGGTGTGATTGTTCATATCGATCCATTTGGTGAGCTGCTCATTCTCCACGTCGTCAATGTTTTCACACAGGGTCCACTTTACTCTTCCAGGCAGGAGAGCGGCTGCACTGACTGCTCTGTGGCCAGGGAGGAGGGGACAGAATCGACTCCCAGGGCCCATGGAGGCAGGCTCTGTGGGCCTGGGGGGAGTGGGAGTCCTCTCACTCAGGAAGGCTCTAGAAGGGCCACCAAGAGCAGCCGCACCAAGGACCTAGCGGTGAGAGCAGCTGAGCGAGTCCCAACCTGATCAGACACAGTGTGAGGGGAGCCGGGGTCCCAGTGCAGCTGCCTCGGGTGACAGTGATCACAGGCCCGGCTGAGCCTGAAGATGAGGACGGGGGAGGGAGGGAGGGACTGGTGTGCACATAGGTGTCCATGTGCATGTATGTATGCAGGCGTGTGTGAGACACATGCATGTGACATGCAGGCATGTGAGACACATACATGTGATATGTGCAGATGTGTGAGACATACATGTGACATGCAGGCATGTGAGACACATACATGTGATATGTGCAGACGTGTGAGACATACATGTGGTGTATGCAGACATGTGAGACACATACATGTGATATATGCAGGCATGTGAGACATACATGTGGTGTATGCAGACGTGTGAGACACATACATGTGATATGTGCAGACGTGTGAGACATACACGTGGTGTATGCAGACATGTGAGATACATACAATGTAGACGTGTGAGACACATACATGTGATAAGTGTGCAGACGTGTGAGACATACACGTGGTGTATGCAGACATGTGAGATACATACATGTGATATGTAGCGTGTGAGACATACATGTGGTGTATGCAGACGCAGTGAGACACATACATGTGATATATGCAGGCGTGGCAGACATACACGTTGGAAAGTAGACGGTGAGATACATACATGTGATATGTGCAGAGTGTGTGGGAGACATACACGTGGTGTGTATGCAGACATGTGAGGATACATACATGTGATATGTGCAGATGTGTGAGACATATGTGACATGCAGGCATGTGAGACACATACATGTGATATGTGCAGACGTGTGAGACATACATGTGGTGTATGCAGACATGTGAGATACATACATGTGATATATGCAGGCATGTGAGACATACATGTGGTGTATGCAGACGTGTGAGACACATGTGATATGCAGACGTGTGAGACATACACGTGTGTGCATGCAGACGTGAGATACATACACATGTGATATGTGCAGGCGTGTGAGACATATATGTGGTGGGGTGGCGCAGACGTGTGAGACACATACATGTGATAAGGTATGCAGGCGTGTGAGACATACACGTGGTGGTGGGTGCAGACGTGTGAGATGTAAGCATACATGTGATATGTGCAGAGGCTGGAGACATGTGGCTACACGTGGTGTATGCAGACGGTGAGACACAGAAGCTACATGTGATATGTAGGCGTGTGAGACATACACGTGGGTGTATGCAGACATGTGAGACACATACATGGGATATGTGCAGTGGCGTGTGAGACACACACGTGGTGTGTATGCAGACATGTGAGACACATACATGTGGAGGTGTGCAGGGCGGTGAGTATTAAGGGCACGTGGTGGCGCAGACGTGTGAGACACATGGCTACGTGATATGCAGGCGCGGTGGGAGACATACACGTGGTGTGCAGACATGTGAGACATACATGTGATATGTGCAGGCGTGTGAGACATACACGTGGTGTATGCAGACGTGTGAGACACATACATGTGATATGTGCAGACGTGTGAGACATACATGTGGTGTATGCAGATGTGTGAGACACACATACATATGATACATGCAGGCGTGTGTGTGAGACATACATACCTGTGGTCCACGCCCGTCTGCACACATCCCGTTACTGAGGGTTAACTCAGTGGCCGGCGCACTCACCACCTTCTCACCAAGGCCGGCACCAAGCTGCTGTTCTGCACGAGGGCCTCCTCCCAGCCTCCCAGCAAACGAGGCCAGAACCTTTGACACGAGGGTCCGGGAGTCATGGCTCCTCCAGGTCAGTGGTGCCCACAGCACTTACCACGCCGCCCACTGTCTCGCTCCATGCTGTGCCTGGCGCTGCACGTGTCCTAAGGCTCCTGCTCCCAACCCTGGTGCCACCGGGACAGAGTCCAGGTAGGAGGGCGGTGTGGGGCATGTGTGTAGCCAGTCCCCATGGACAGGACTCCCGAGGGAACAAAGCCCCACTCCTTGGTCAGGGCCAGAAGGGCCCAGAGAGAGCAGCAGCCTCAGTTTACAGAGTAGGGAAACTGAGGCAGAGCAGGCTCAGGCCTTCTGTGTTGGGCCTGGACACCTGGGAGGAAGGCAGCCCCAAGGGCCACTGTTAGGTGGGAACGTGGGCCCGGCTTGGCAGTCCTGAGCTGCCTCAGGCCTGTCCTGTCCCGGGGGGCGTCTACGCCTCTGTGGACCCACCAGCCTAATGCCTGGGCTGCTGGCCTGGGCCCTATCTGTGGAACGAATGGAGGAAGCAGGAGCTGGGCCCATGGTCTCCCTGCCCGGGAAGCCGCAGGTGGAGGGCAGGCAGAGGGTGGCAGGGGTTTCACCCTGACCCCGATGAGGGAGGGGCAGGAAGGACAGGGTGGCAGCTACCACAGGCTGCATGTGGGACTTTGCTGGCAGCAGCAGGCACAGTGCCACAGCTTTGGGGACCAGCTGGTCACCAGGAGTCCCGCCATCCCCTGGTGCCTGAGAGAAGCTGGGCCACTCGCCTGGGAGCAGCTCCTGGCAGCACCCCCGTGTCTGGCTGGGGTCAGAGCTGGCTGACTTTTCAGATTCAAGCCCGCCTCCCCAGGAGGTCAAAGGCAGCAGGCACGCAGAGGCGGCTTCGGACCCGGCGGGTGGCAGCCCTGCTCCCAGGGCACCTGCTCCTGGGTCTAACTTGTGTGGCGTGGGCCGCCCAGCAAGGGGCAGGGTGTGCGGGGTAGGCACTGTCAGCCATGTGCAACTTAGGTATCCTTGTGGGGCTCAGTCACGGTGACTTGGCAAACAGGGCCCCCTGCCTGTGTCTCCAGAGGTCAGGTCAGCACCAGAGACCAAGACGGGGAATAAACTGGGCTTTAATGGGGAGGGAGGAGTGGATGAGTTCCCTCCAGGATGAGCTTGTTCTCGGCTGGTGGAGCGGAGGGGAAACAGGGCCTGGCTGGATGCTGGCGGACTGTGTGCACGAAGGCCGACCGACCTGGCACAGGAACCGGCTGGAGAGTCACTCATGACTTTAGAACACGGCATTCAACCGCACATCCTTGGAGCACCATATTCTGGTCAACAAGCTGGTCAGCGAGCTCCAGGCTTTCTGTAGCTTGTGGTATTGTCAGCAGAAAGTCATCCTCATTATTTTGAAAGCATATGATATATGCTATTGGATAAAGCAAATGATTATGGAATCAAGTTTCAGGATTAAAGGAGAGAGATGCAAATGTAAAATTAGTGGAATTAAGTAAAAATCTTGCTATGTTAAATTTGACCTTTCCCCAACAGAAGGCATTTCCTTAGCTACTAGCAAGGCCTAGACACAAACGTCTGACCTGTGGTCTCCGAGTGCCGTTCCCTTGAGTCCAGGCCTAGGCGGGAGGGCAGGGCCCCTTGCTTTGACTGTTCCCAGGGTCAGGCCAAGGGGATGCACAAGGCCACACGGTGAGGCAGGAGTTCGGATGGGGCAGGGCTGTGGACTGGGGTGCCCACCCGTCCTGGAAAACAGGGCTGGGATGCCGCTGTCTGGGATGCCTCAGACAAGCTTGGTGGGCAACATGCTTAAGTGGGCAAGGGCCCCAGGCCACGTCCACCTGTCCCCGAGGCATGTGAACCCAGGATGGGGCTGGCCTCCTGCCCAAGGCATGTGAGCCTGAGATGGGGCTGGCCTCCTGCCTGGCACACTCGTTTCTGGCCACTCTTTCAGACATGCATTCCAGGGGCAGAATGTTCTGGGTAAGTTGAGGCCAGACATTGCTGGGCTATGACTGTTACTTCCCAGAGGCTGTGGGGAAGAGGCAGCCTATTCTTCTGAAAATTGTCCAGAAACTTCTGGATTCTGCATGTGGCCCCTGTGCATCTCAATTGACCCCGCTAAGTAAATGCAATGTGGGTGCACCCAACATTGACAACACACGTTCCTGAGGTTTTTGCATCGGCTACGCCTGTGGGTTCTGGACCTGGATCTGGGGAAAAGCTGGCGAGCCACAGACATGAGATGGGGGGCCATGGGGCAGGTGGGGGTCTGGATAGAGACGGTGATGGGAGAGAGGGTTCACTGGCTGAGGGGCCAGTGTGGAGATGACCTGGAAGGTCTCTGCGATGGGGGGTGAGGCAGGGTCACAGCAGAGCAGCTCCGGGGCCGTCCGTCCACGCACTTTCTGTGACACAAGCTGATGGACACACAGTAGTGAGCACGGTGGCAAGTGTCCCCACAGCGGGAGCTGCCCTCCTCTGAGAGTGGCACCAGGAGACGCCCAGGACCTATGGGACAGGGCTGGTTCTGGGAGGTTTATGAACCCTCAGCTCCTCACAGGAGGCCCTCTGGGCGGCTGCCCAGACCTATGTGGACTGGGAGACACTGGCTCACGGGTGAGGCACAGGCACGGGCGGATGAGTCTGCCGCAGTCATAGGCCTGGGCAGACAGTCATAGGCCTGGGCAGACAGTCATAGGCCTGGGCAGGCACTTGTTTCCTCCAGTGGAGTCTTTATTTCTTTTTTGGGGGACATCTCCGGGACCCGCCCTGGAGAGCCTGGCAACTGCAGGGCACTGTGGGGCGGGAGGTGCCTGAGCCCGCACTGTGGGGCGGGAGGTGCCTGGAGCCCGTAGGGCCGGCCGCGAGGTCGGTGGTGACCAGGCAGATCGTGGCACGTGGGGCCGGCCGCGAGGCCGGTGGTGACCAGGCAGACGTGGGCACGTGGGCCGGCCGCGAGGTCGGTGGTGACTCAGGCAGACGTGGGCACGTGGGGCCGGCCGCGAGGTCGGTGGTGACCAGGCAGACGTGGGCACGGGGCCGCCGCGAGGTCGGTGACCAGGCAGACGTGGGCACGTGGGGCCGGCCGCGAGGTCGGTGGTGACCAGGCAGCACGTGGCACGTGGGGCCGGCCGCGAGGTCGGTGGTGACTCAGGCAGACGTGGGCACGTGGGGCCGCCGCGAGGTCGGGTGGTGACCAGGCAGACGCGGCACGTGGGGCCGCCGCGAGGTCGGTGGTGACCAGGCAGACGTGGGCACGTGGGGCCGGCAGCACCAGAGCGTGGCTGCATCGTGCTGCACGGGCGAGGTCGGCGGTGACCAGGCAGAGGCGACACCAGGGATGGTCTCCTTGAGCTGCAACAACTGGCCCAAGGCTGGGGACCTCACGTGGTGATTTCATCCCAAACAGTTTTTGTTCCACGTGCCCTGATTTGGGGCATTCAGGCTTAAGGGAGGCCACAGGTCTCGGACAGGCCCCCGCGGCGCTCGGTGTGGGGCAGACGTCTGCTGCTCCCTGCCAGACCCGCAGTCCGAGTGCCCAGCCCCTGGTGCGCGGGTCACGAGGGGTGGAAGCGTCTGATGAGTGCCTTCTTGTCAATCTTGCCCATCTGGTTCCGTGGGATCTCCTCCACCAGCACGAGCTCCGAGGGCACGGCGTACGGGGCCAGGACATCTCTGCAGAGACAAGCACAGCCTGAGGCGAGTTGTCCCAACACTGCCCAGCGGTAGCTCAGGTGCCCAGCAGTGTGGACAGGTGCCCCTTGGACGCTGCAGCCTGGCCAGGCGCCTCGGCCATCCTGAGGCCTGGCATGTGTCCTGGGCAACCTCAGCTGTCTCTGCCCTAGCAGCCCAGGGGTGGTGACTGCAGGAGGTGCCCAGCATGCTATTATCACTGGTACCACAGAAGTCATGGTGCATGCAGGCCTTGGGCGAGGGCACCCGAGGACGGGCCTGCATAGAGCGGCCTGTAGGGCAGAGGGACCCCCACACCGGGCCAGGCATTCCAAGACCCCGCACTGGAGCTGGAACACCCCATGTCGTTCTGTGGCCGGTTCCCCTTCCAGAGGAGGCATGTGGAAGGGGCTGGGGAGTGGGTGGGCAGGTGGGGCAGGGGCAGCCTGCCCTGCATGGGGTATTTGAGATGGGAGCAAATGCCCCACAGTCCTGCAGATACAAGCCCGCATGGCAAGAGGCCTCACAGACCCCCCCACAGCAGGGACAGCCCCTAAGCCTTGACACCTCCACTCAGGGTCCCCTGTCCTCATGGCCAGAACTCGGTGGGCGGTGCCAATGCAGATGAGCGGGCCGAGGGCAGTGGGCAGGGACGAGGCACTGGGATTGGAAGCTGAGACTGCAGTGGTGCTCGGTGCTCCTCCATTCACCATTAAAGAAAGAAGGAAAGGAAGGAAGGAATGAGATTAACCCCCAAAAGGCGGGAGGCTGTGTGGCCTCCGCCCACCCAGCAATGCCCTGAAGGCAGTGGCCACACCCCAGTTGCAGGAAGGGCTGGTTCAGGGCATCCAGGCTGACACTGAGGCATGTCAGAAACGAACTTGACGGTGATTGTTTCAGGTTACTGTCCGGCGGAAAAGTCCAGAAACCAAGTGTTGTAGTTTCTTGATGCTTTTTGTGGAGAAAGCGTCGCCTGCCATCCGGACGTAGCCAGAGACTCAGCACAGGCCCCTCCCCACCTGCCCCTGCCTGTAGGCCTCTCGGGGCGGAGGTGCGAGTCGGCCCAGCTCAGTCCCTCCCTCCCCAGGGGCAAGTGGTTTGACCTCGGTGTCGCTGTCAACCTCGACCTCCACATTTCCAAATCGCTTTTTTCTTTTTTTCTCTTTTCTTTCTGGGACAGGATCTCACTGTTGCCTGGGCCAGAGTGCAGTGGTGCAGTCACAGCTCACCAAAGCCTGGACTTCCTGGGCTCAGAGGATCCTCCCAAAGTGCTACAGACACGCGTCACCACGCCCGGCTCCAATTTTCCTATCAAATTTATTTTGGCACGTACATATTTTATAGTTATATAAAACTATTATAGGTATTTAAATGGAGGTGTAATTTACACCCAGCTGTCCTATGTACAGTGTAGTGAGGGATGTGTAGAATTTTTTTTGTTTTGAGACAGAGTCTTGCTCTTGTCCCCCAGGCTGGAGTGCAGTGGTGCGATCTCGGCTCACTGCATCTCCGCTTCCTGGGTTCAAGTGATTCTCCTGCCTCAGCCTCCTGAGTAGCTGGGATTACAGGCGCCCGCCACCATGCCTGGCTAATTTTTGTCTTTTTTTTTTTTTTTTTGAGACGGAGTCTTGCTCTGTCGCCCAGGCTGGAGTGCAGTGGCCGGATCTCAGCTCACTGCAAGCTGCGCCCTCCGGGTTTACGCCATTCTCCTGCCTCAGCCTCCCGAGTAGCTGGGACTACAGGCGCCCGCCACCTCACCCGGCTAGTTTTTTGTATTTTTTAGTAGAGATGGGGTTTCACCGTGTTAGCCAGGATGGTCTCGATCTCCTGACCTCGTGATCTGCCCGTCTCGGCCTCCCAAAGTGCTGGGATTACAGGCTTGAGCCACCGCGCCCGGCCAATTTTTGTCTTTTTAATAGAGACAGGGTTTCAACATGTTGGGCAGGATGCTCTCCAACTCCTGACCTCAGGTGACCTGCCCACCTCGGCATCCCAAAGTGCTGGGATTACAGGTGTGAGCACCACGCCTGGCCTGTGTAGGAATTTCTAAAGTTTTACTGAAGCAACTGCCCCCATCTAAGTAGCGCCCAGACTGAAAGGGAACATGGCCGGGTTCCCAGAAGCCCCTCTGCCTGCCTGAGCCACTCCCAACCTCCACGTGTAACCGATGTCTTGACTTCTAAGAGCGGACAAACCCTGTGTTGAATGAGAGTGGCTGGCAGTGGTGAGGGCAGACGCCCCTTCCTGGTCACAGGAGGAAAATGCCCAGCAGCTCCCCATTGAGCAGGATGTCACCTGGTGGCTTTTCAGAGGCTCCCTCATCAGGTTCGGGGATTTTCCTTCTTCTCCTAGTTTGTGAAGAGTTTTTGTTATAAAAGGGCTTTGGCATTTGCAAATGCTTTTTCTGTATCTATTGAAATAATATGATTTTTCTTTTTCATTCTGTAAATATGGTGAATTACCAGTGGCTCACGCTTGTAATCCCAGGACTTTGGGAGGCTGAGGCGGGTGGATCACTTGAGGTCAGGAGTTTGAGACCAGCCTGGCCAACATGGCGAAACCCCATCTCTACTAAAAATACAAAAGTTAGCTGTGCATGGTGGCACACACCTGTAATCCCAGCTGCTCAGGAGGCTGAGGCGGGAGAATCGCTTGAACCCAGGAGGCAAAGGTTGCAGTGAGTGGAGATTGCGCCGCTGCACTCCAGCCTGGGTGACAGAGTGAGAGTCCGTCTAAAAAAAAAAGGTGAATTACATGGACTGATTTTTGAAAATGAAAGTAACCCTCTATTCCTGGCTTAAATGCTGCTTGATCAGGACGTGTTGTCTTTTTGTGCGTTAATTGGATTTAATTGGCTAATGGTTTGTTAAGGATTTTGTGTGTCTGCCCACTGGGAACACTGTTCTCTCGTTTTCTTGTCCGGTTTGGATTTCAGGGTAGTGCTGGTCCCATAAAGGGAGTTAGGAATTGTTCCTCTCTGCTGTTTCGTCAGAGACTTATTTTGTTGTGTCTGGTTTTATTTTTTGCCTTCAACGTTTGAGAGAATTTACCAGTGAAACCTTTTGGGCCTAGTATTTGCTTTGCAGTTTTAAGTTGAGAACTCAGAACTGTTCAGTCTGTTTTGGTGTTTGCGTCAGTCTTGGAAATTTGTGTATTTTAAGGAAGTTATCCGTTTCGTCTGAACTGCTGGCTTCACTGGATAAAGCAGCCTTCCATGCCGCCATACTGCCCATCAGAGACCGCAGGCCCGAGGTGAGGTTTCACTTCCTTCCTGATATTTAGAATGCTGTTTTCTCTCTTCTTTCTTGGGGTCTTCTTTCAATCTGAAAACTCATGACCTTTGGTTTGGGGAAATTTGACTGTTAATTTCTTCCCTGGATATCTTCTTTTTGGAACTCCCATTAGACAGTTGGAATGTTTGAATTAATCCTCTAATTTACTTCCTCCTGCCTCCCTTCCTGTCCTTTTTTCTTTCATAGTGAATGGACAAGCACTGCAGTGTCAGCCTAAGCCAGGCACAGCAAGGACGACTCAGGGCTGCAGGGGAGGTAGCTGTGGGCCAAGTACAGCAAGTGGCCTGGAGAGCAAGGGCCTGGCTCCAGGGCTCCCGCAGGACTGACGGAGTCCTGGGCTGTGAATGCACGGCTGGCGGCCTTCCCTGCCCGGTCCTGCCCCTCACAGGCAGCTTCTCACCAGCGGGCCCTCAAGTGCCCTGCACACAGCTTCCTGTCTCAGGGTCTTCTCACAGCCACTGTCATAGCCCAAACGATGCTGGATGAGGAGCCTGACTTCAGAGACATGCACAGAGCAGGAGCGAGTGGTCTGGTGTCCCTGTGCAGAGGGCAGCCCTGTCTGAGGAAAGCCAAGGGCTGAGGAGCATCAGGACTTCAGTTCCTGCAAACTCAGACCCTGAAACTCTCTAGCACTTTCTCAGCACCCGACACCTATCTTTTCTTCTCAAGGTAACTGTTTAATGAAAGCAGCAGCCGCTGCTGAGCAGCAGTGCTCCAGCTGTGTTGTGTAAACCCAGGCATGTGTGGTGCCCTGATGCTGCCCTGATGAAGCAAGGGTTCCTGTTGTCTGTGGAATCACAACAGATGAGCCAAAAATACCTTCAGTGCTCAGGAGAAGGCAAGTCAGGGTGGA